GCGCGTGCTCCGCGCAAACGTGCAGATGCTTGAAGAGCGAGCGGTGCGTGCGGAAGCGCAAGAGGCAGTTCTCACACCTGGGGGCGGACACGGCGCGGGGCTGGATCACCCGGGCCATAAGGGAGGGCAGGAGGGAGCCTATCCAGTGCCACCTGGAGACCGCCCGGCGAGTGGGGAGTCTGGGTCCAAATCGCACAAGGCGAGTACCAAGTCCTCTCCCCCACCCACCTGTAGCCATGATTCCCGGCTCACCCCGGGTCGGAGCCCTGGGGAAACGAGGAATACAGTCTCAATTTTGACCTAGGAGACTGGCTCTCCTCTTCGCCGGCAACTTGGAGCCACACCCGCCTATACCCTGTCCCTTGGGGGCCCAGCCTTCTGGGTCCCCTCCATCTGCTCCAAGTACCTCCCTACAGAGCGAAGGGCGAGACTTGCCTGAGACACGCCCACCCCAGGACCTCCCTCCGCACAGAGGGAGGGCGAAAGGCCGGGACCCCACCCACGGGCTCTCACTTGAAGTAGCGGTTGGGCTTGTAGTGCAGCTTCCCGTGAGCCACCAGCTCCTGCATGCTGGGAAAGGTCTCCGTACAGCTCAGGGTGGAGCATCGGAACAGCTTGCCTGGAGGGGACGCAGGACACAGCCCTGGTCCCAGAGTCCGACCTCAGAGAGGGCCCTGCCTGCCTCCCCAACCCCGACCCTGGCCCTACCTTCCAGGGACTGTGTGGGTGGGCAATGGGTACGCAGATGCTGGGCCAAGTCGCGAATGCTGGGGAAACTGAGGCAGCAGCCGGGGCTGGAGCAGGGAATCTGCTTCCCTGCAGGATGCACAAGGGGGTAGGCTATCACCAGGCGCTTCCTACTTCCGCTGCCCCGTATCTTATGAGGTTGGAATTGCCTGGATGGGGCCTTTACCCTCTGCTCCCACACTGGACTGAGCCAGGCTGGTCAGGCTTATCTCTGGGACCACAGCTTGGCATACACTCGGTGCTTAGTACATGGAAAATGCCACCCGTCTAGACGGGCCTGAGTCTAAAGCTAACTCTACACGCCTCACTGCTATTGTTCCAGGCCTGTGACTCTCCAGAAGGCCCCATCACAGGTCACCTGGTGTCGGGCGACGTCTGGGAAGCCGCAGGTCCTCGCTGGTCCCGGGGATTGTGCTGGTGGAGCCAGGGCTGGGTCCAGGGCCTGGCTGGCAGCTATCTGGGACGGGGGCAGCGGCAACTTGCTGTGTCCCTCCGGGCCCTCCACGGTCCCACACTGGGGGTGTGGCTGCCCGGTCAGGGCCTGGCTCCTCCCCCATGGAGGAGGAGGTGGCTGTGGCAGCCACCACCGGGGACAACGCCTCCTTGTCGGTTTCACTGGAGCTGGGCTCTGCAGTGGCCTGCATGCCCGGGTTGGGCTCCGACGGTTCCTCATCCTGATGGAAAAAAGAGGCGGGGAGAACCCCTCTCGGCTCAGTGTAGGCTGGACACGCAGGGGATCTACTCCCCTCTGGCCAGGACCCATGGGCTCAACCTTCTAGAATCGCCTCCCAATCAGCCCCCATCCTAAGGAGTCACAGGAGAGGGTAAGGGCGGAAGATGGAGTCGCAGCCTACATCCCAAGAGCAGGAGAGAAGCAGCCTCTTGTTCCCAATTTGGGCAGGTGGGAGGTCTTTTACGTGGCAGGGGCGTGGCCCTGGTGGGTGTGGTCAAGCTACGAAGGCGGGGCTCTAGACATGGGTGGGACGCTGGAGGGGCCAGCATGGTCTAGCGGGTTGTTGGAGGGCGGGCTCCAGCTGTGTAGGACAATTTGGAGGTGCTGGGGGCCCGGAAGTGTACAGTATAGGGGCGGGGCCTGAGCCTGGTGGGCGTGGCCCGGCCAAAGCGGGCGTGGCCCTGGTGGGTGTGGTCAAGCTACGAAGGCGGGGCTCTAGACATGGGTGGGACGCTGGAGGGGCCAGCATGGTCTAGCGGGTTGTTGGAGGGCGGGCTCCAGCTGTGTAGGACAATTTGGAGGTGCTGGGGGCCCGGAAGTGTACAGTATAGGGGCGGGGCCTGAGCCTGGTGGGCGTGGCCCGGCCAAAGCCGGGCCCGGAAGCAGGAGTAGGGCGCTCGCTGAGCGACGGCCACAGGGGGGCGGGTGCCCGGATGTGGGGGCGGGGTCGGCCGAAGGATGTGTGCGCGACAGGGTCACTCCCCGCCAGTCCCCGCTGATCTGCGGCGCCCGCGTCCCACGG